GTTTAGAGAGTGTTTCACCTTGTTTTCTCGATTTGTTCATATTGGTAGGAAGACTTAGAGGAATGCACCTAGTCAGGAGTTCATTGTATGCATGATCATTTTCAGAGTAGGACCGTGGACGTGGTACATTCTCAGACGTTTCGCCGGCATCGTCAGTGATTCTTGCCAGTCTTAGCACCACATTACAACTCGTCAAAGAGACATGTGAAGCCGATCCTTTGACAAAATGTCTGCTTAACAGATGTGGTATCTCTCTTTCTGTCCTGGGCTTTTCACCTATCCTATATCTTCGTATCACGCCTACACTATCACTATTTTTTTCTTTTCCTCGTTTATTTAAATGTAATGGGGTGTGCCCATTTGAGCGGCTTTCATAAATACCCTCAACACCACACGCTGTCGTTCTCACCCCCTTCATCCTTGTGCTAGGAATGTTGATCAAAGTCTGGCACATTGTTACGCAGATCACGTCATTAGTAAAACAGGCCTACCGTCAGCCAAATAGCTCTAGTCTTCGCTGCGTCTATCCTGTTTCTACCCCTAATGCCAAGTCTATGACTTCTCATGCCCTAGTCTCTTGTGTGCCAACCCACAAATGTTGTGGTTTTACTTGTTTTGATTAGGCTCACTGAAGGCGTCTCCTCTTGGCTTCTGAGTTTTACTTTCTGGTTCCCTTGCGATTTCTTTTCCTAAAATTAAGGATGTTACCTTGATCCAGTCGTCTTCTTTTTGCTCATCTTACTGTTGCCTGGTCTTCTATGAGTTTGTTTCGGCAATTTACAAAGTTTTCGCTGATCCTGCCTTCTTAAAGTCTCCTGTTCATTAGATTTCTCTCGGTCAGTATATCGATGACCCCTCGGATCTTGCGTACCAAATTACATTCTCTACAGGAATTATAGGCCTGAGTAATCCGAAAAGAGCAAAAACGTAGGCCCTTAGATTATTAAGACTAAATGACTTTTGCTTTTTGATCCAGGCAGGCGCCATGCAGGACGCTTCCGCTACTTAGTTGGTTAACTTTCTTGGTCCAAGTGTAGAAGGTGTGACTTTATTGGGAATAGAAGTCGAGAGAATATCAGTCGGGTTGACTTGTGACGTGACCGATCAACGAATCTTTTTATAAAATTACTTGACTTAAAAGGCAAAGCAAGCTAACGCTAGTGTTTAGGCGTCAATTTATGATTTGCATTATTATCGCGTGTATTCAGTTTGGCGTTTTACTCATTCCGGCCTGCCCTCCTCTTCACTCTTTCCCAAAGGCAAATGCCAGCACATGAGCGGATCGTGAAGCTGCATGCCGCCGTCATCGACTACGGTTACAGTTACGGCAGCAGTCCGGCGGTCCTCTTCGTGATGGAGCGCCTCACTCGAGACCTCTTCATCGCACTGCGTCAGGCCAGTCTCTCATGGTTGGCTCGACTACGCGTAGCGCTCGACGTTGGCGAGGCGATCCGTTACCTTCACGGCCAAGGCATGATCCATCGTGACATCAAACCGCGCAACGTACTGCTCGACGCCGCGGACAGAGCCAAGCTGACCGATCTCGGCTTCTGCAAACCCCAAGCCATGATCAATGGCAGTATTCTGGGTAAGTGAACTCTGCCGCCTATTTGGCGTTTTGGCGTGCATCTTAGCGCTGCCAACGAGCAAAGCCTGTACCAACATTCGGGCGATCCGGAGGCTGTGTGAAAGTCACGCCAATCTTAGACTCAATGATCCCATCTTTCAAAGGCGATGGTCACTAGTTCTTGTCTCTTATCAGGCGGAGCTTGCTCTTCTTGTCTGGAGGACGCACAGTTTCTTATTTTCACACATGCTAGATATGTTGTTTTGGAGAAACAATACATGATTTATTGTAGAATATTAGTAATTTTATAAAGAAAAGACTGTAATATGAGATGTATTCACCCTATTTCGTCTAAAGTGATGAAGCACTGGTAGTAGAATTTTCCCACAATGATATGAGCTGAGCTGACGTTTTCATTGAATTTTACATAGTCTTGATTTCCCAAAAGTTGTTTCCATTCACCTTCATCACCTCAGACGAAATAGGGTGAATACCTCTCATATTACTGATTTACTGGTAGTCTCGAAAGTCTACTCTAATACGAAAAGAAAAAGACTTGTTAATCTAGTCTAATCACTTCTATTTTAATTGCAACCTACTTTTGCTACACTGAAGCTGTTCACTACCACTTTCGCAACTTGGTCATGTTGTCAGGACGAACTAGATGAAAGCACCTTATCCGAAATCCTCTGTCATGTTAGGCATGATAATTTCCAGTATTGTGGTGTGGAATTGGTGCATTTGAGAACGAATTGTAGCTTGATGCTAAAATTGCCGGCAATGCCGGCGAAACATCTGAGAATGTGCTAGCTCCACGGTTCGAGGCTGGAAATTATGAGGACTACCATGATAGAGGACTTCGAACAAGGTGCGTTTACCTAGGTCACCATGACAACACGAACAAGTTGCAATAAAGAGGTAAATTCACTTATAATATAGCATCAACTCAGAGCTACATCATTTTTTCAGCTTGATCTCGCAGCGATTAGTTGTTGATATGCCTACTAGGAATTGAGGATAATGCCTGATTGCTGAAGACTTTTTTCTCTGCTTTGCGTTTTCAAGGTAAGTCTTGTTTGGTCGGACTGTGGTTTCGATCGTTTCGGACTTTAGCC